ATATATATATATTGCATCAAACAATAAACATATGGAAAAGACAGAACAGATAGAGCCTCTACAGGAATAAAATGACATCAATTCTGCATGTAAAGTTTCACGAAAGAAATTAATTAAAATAAATCAATAATAAAATGCTAATAAATATAAAACGAAAAAGGATAACATTATAAAACACATATAAAGGACAACGTATGCATCAGTGTTATTACAATATATATATTATTAATTCTAATCCACCTAAGAGATTTAAGAAATGCATCAACAGGCTGCAAATAAGACAATTTTTGCTTATAAATGAAAAATTTCCCAAACAAAATAAAAAAAGGAACATTGCAATTCACTGAAGTAGTAGTTTTACTTTAATAGTAACAGGTTATATGTCTTAACTGAAAGGATCTAGAAGAATCAAGGTGCTTGCCTATATGAAGATATGAACTATTACAAAAGTTTTAAGTTTTGTCACATTGAAAAAATGAATGGATCAGTGTCTCATCCATAATTCCACAAAATGAGCAAGAACTGTCAACATCCATATATTTTGCCACAGTATCATTCACAGGATATATTTTTGTAAGATCTTAAAATGAACTTCTTTTGTCTTATTGGGAACGCAATATTTGTGAGGTAACAACACAATAAAGGAGTTGTTCTCAATGTGCTTCACAGCTGTGACATCATGGATTACGTGTAGGTCAGAGTCCCGCCCCCTGTTTCAGGATTGCCCCGCCCACATTTCTCCCTGTATCTGTCCTCTCAGCTCCAGTATGGAGTGGTGCTTGTTTACCACAGACAGTGTGAATTTTTGTTAGGTTGGTGTGCTAAAACTACAAAACATGTTTTGTTGTAGTCAAAAATATACATTCAGAAGATTTATAAGTAATTCTTAAGGGCGAAAAACTTCATCTAATTTTCTCCTCCAATTTCAAAATCGACTGACATCGTTGTTTTTACCTTTTTTTTGTAAAGGGCGTTTGACTTTCTTTGCACGTTCGCTTTGTAAACGCTGCTTCCGCCTACATCACACGTGACCTTTCCAACATGACTACGAAATACGTGAAGTCGAGCTAGTGCGCGACTAGCATTTGTGGTTAAAAAGTATATACATTTTTATTTATTTTAGAAAATGGCTAGATAAGACCCTTATTCCTCGGCTGGGATCGTGTAAAGCCCTTTGAAGCTGCACTGAAACTGCAATTTGGACCTTCAACCCGTTGATCCCCATTGAAGTCCATTATATGGAGAAATATCCTCGAGTGTTTTCCTCAAAAACCTTAATTTCTTTGCGAATGAAGACAGAAAGACATGAACATCTCGGATGACATGGGGGTGAGTAAATTATCAGGACATTTTTATTCTGGAAGTGAACTAATCCTTTAAGGCATACGTTCAATATGTCTGTACAATAGTAATATATTTCTGTCACAATTTCTTCAAGTTAAACCATACTTTTATTTTGATGGGTTCCTGATATTTTTCTCAAAATATCTCGCATCAGATCTTTTTTTCAGCACTGCAGAAATCATAGGACCCTTGTAATATTTTATTATTATTTTATATTTTTTTGCTTTGTCCATTTCAGTGGCATGTGACTATAGACAGATATAATATCTAAAAGTATTTTTGTTCTTCTGTTGAAGGCCGCAGGTTGTTATTGAAGATTTGGTGACCTTTCACTCTCTGCTGCCCCCTCAGGCCAGCTGTAGAATTGTTGCCCAAATGTTTTGGAGATTGCTAGGTAAGATTGTGGCAGAGGATTTACCATCCTATTTTGCCTGATTCTTGTTAGTGAAAACAAAATTAATAAAATGAAATTATGAAATTGGGATTTTGCTGTAAAAAATGGGCAATGGGACTTTTCACAGTGGGAAGACTGACTTATAGCCCACCTACTAAAAATCAAATGTATTTTTAACAGAAACATGCAAAGACTTAAAGAGAAAAATAATTAAACTTGTCAGGTAAAGGTGATATATGCCGCCCCATTCCACTTCAGCTGCTATCTGACTACCCATGAGCCTCCTCACCTGCTAGCAGCAAATAATGGTGTGAGATTGAACACCACATTGAACAAAAATGTATGCAATCAAATTCTCCCCAGTGCTTAACTTATTGAAAAATGCAATCATCCAGGGAGTGATGCTGTCTTGTCTTGTTCGTCTTGTGTTTACAGAGCAAATAGCCGCAGGACAGGTCACAGTGCGACAGGACGAGCCGTATGGTGACCTCATCATTTCACAGCCATAGATCGATGAGGACTGATGAGGACTTTCCAGTGTTTACAGACAAAACCGGTATGAGGATACATATTCACATGACTTATTAAATCAGTGTTCCGGTTTATGAATTTTTAAACAACTGAAACGTCTTTAGTTTAACACAAAATTAACACGTTTGTCATTGTTATTTTTATATTGTATTTTGTACTCTATGAAAAGATGTTTTTTTAATCATTAAAATAACTTAAGATTATTTCATGCAATGTTTTCTATATTATTCTAATGACACAATTTTTATGACAGTATTTCTGTTTTTACTATAATATGAAATATTGTTCTCTGTGTTAACATGATGAATCTATTTTACGTACATTAGGTTTTACTGTTCCACCTTTAATATTTATCTATTTCTTAGAATATAGCACATATGAAAGCTGCATTGTTGCTAGTTTTAATCAATAAATTTTATATTGTGTTGTTTATTTTTTCAAAAACATTGTTAAAGTGCTCATAACTATATCTTATTTCACCATTTTGAACTCATGTAAATGTGATATAGCATGAAGCTTCATACAAAAAAAAGTGTTCTTCTTTTATTACAAACTCTTATCTTTACAGGTTCATCTCAACAACACAACAGTGCAATCAATATATGTTTATCAGTCTGCTTACCGCAAATTAGTTTTGGCACAAAGTACATTAGGCACTAGGTTTACCACAAATACCAGCGTAGACAGAAGTGAATATGCTTAAATACATTTCAAGTTATTTCACATACCTTCGTTATCGATCTGGACAATCAACTTTCTCATAAATATCAAAATCACAATTCAGTTTAACCTTTGAACACTCACATAGAAATGAACATTTTCCTACTACAATGTCATAGATCTAACAGTGCAAAAGTCCAGAGACATTATGCTAAACCCAGGGAACTGTATTAAAAAAAATAAATAAATAAATAAATAAAATAAAAAATGTTTTGGAAAATAATTCCCCTGAAAAGAAAAAAAAGTGCAGTACTATCTGTTTGTGTAGATTCAAGAAATTTTAGACCTTTACAATAAAATGTTATATAAAAGTTAAGGTGCGGACATATTAGCAAAATTTGTTGGACAAAAAAAGTTTGAACCTGCTGTGAAATCTGCAAGGGGAATATCTTTCGCCTTCCAAAATCCTTTCGAAATGACTGAATTTCACCTGTGAAAATTTGCTGAATGACAGTAAATGTGACCGCATCTTAAGAGTTTAGGTTTAGGGTCATAGTGTCATAATATTGAGCAATTCCTTAAGAACAAATATAGCGTCTAATAAAGGGGGGAAAAAACAAGCAAATGATCTCCAGCAAATGCTCTAAAATGTGAATGGTTTCTTCTACAGGTCATGTTTGTTATAGTTTCTCTCCATGTTTGTTGAGAATCTTAAGATGAATAAAAGTATATGAGTTCTGTTTTCTTGAAATTCAAACATTCTCTTCTAACTAAACACCTGTTTTATTAAGAAACTGCATTTTTTTTTTTAACAGAGAATAAGATTGATTTTATAAAACCCATATTTTATATTAATGGTATAGAATAATATAGTAAAATAATTTAATTTTTTTATTCCAATATTACGGAACCACATTTTAGCATCGAAGCCTCCTGAGAATCACCAAAACCCATAATCCGAGATCAGTTGAGAAAGCCATCTTTCAGGGGATTTGCACCAATAACAAAACTGGTTGCCTGAGGAATCAGATAATGAAATGGTGCAGTTCACTTTTGCTATTATAGGGCTGCACGATTTTTGCTAAAACGTGAATCACGATTTTTCTCCATGGGAATTGAGATCACGATTCTCACACGATTCTCATTTTTTCAACCAAAACATTTATTGTGCTCAAGTAAAAAAATAAAAAATAAAAAAAAAATGCTGTCTACACAGGACTTTCAGTTATAATAAAGTGCTGGACTTAAAAGTAACAAAACATAAGAAATAAAACAATGATTTTAGACCCCTTAAAAGCTGTAAGCAGAATAACTTAAAAGCTGTAAGCAGTTGAATAGAATGTTGACAATAATAAATATTTATGTGATGAAAATAATAAATAAAAAACTAATAAATAGCACTTGTGCTTTGTGTGGTCTGGCGGCTGGTATTTTGAGGTGTGGATCCCTTATCACTCATGGCTAACTCGTACTGTATTTTGTGCTGACGTTTGAGGTAGGGATGCTCTGATCCGGATTTATGCAACCAATAACGACTAGCTTTCTTGTCATTATGATCAGCCAATACCGATTCTGATCATTTAAGCTTTATACAAGTGATATGCAAGCTCCCTGTTGACTGTCACTGTTAACCTTTTTTTACTGATAAAATAATACCAAAGATGTTCGTATTATTTACAGTAATATTGGATATTGTTGATTTAATTGAGAAATAAGCACAACGAATATTCATTTTACAATGAACATTTTAATAGGCCTTTAAAAACTGAGCTTACACAAAACACTATCCATATTAGGATACTTTGGCTTATTAAAGAGCATACAAAGTGATGTTAAACTGAATATAATTGTAACCCACAAGGCGAAGGCTGTCAGTCAGTGCAGTAACATTGTTACGCCAATAGGTGGCGGCAAGGGACTGTCTTTATGAGTAAAGCAATAAGCCCCAAGAAGCCGTGATTTACAGTGAATTTATAACAACTAAGGGGCGTTGTTAGGCACGAAGCGGAGTGAAGCTATGGTATAAACCCCCTTAGCTGTTATAAATGCACTGTAAACCACGGCTTCACGGGGCTTATTGCTTTTATAAAACGGTTATTCCATATATGTAGTAAGGTTTCACAAAATAAAACAGAGCAAATAAAGTGTAATGATATTAATAAAAACGGTATTCTTCCACCAAACAATGTAGTTCCTCAGAAACAGTTGTGGTTGCAATAAAGTGGTTGCCAAGCAACACACAAAGTAAACAAAGGTGTATGTTTGTAGAGTAATTTACAACAGCTTTTGAACATGGCACAACCAATCAGAATCAAGGACCGGAACTATCCATTTTATAATCATCATTAAACACCACCTCACAAGCGTCAATCGACCAGCAACACATTACCTTAGTAACGCTGAAGCTGATATTTCACTTCATAGAGATGTGGGAAATACCCTTAAACATTGAAAGTGTACTACGACAAATATATCGCTTTCATCTTCTGACAACTGATATTTTTGGTAGAAACTGATATTTTTCATCTATAAGTGTTTTGTTTTACACTGTGTGATTGTGACCAATAAGTCTGACTGATAGCATCTTGGATTGTTGTAAAGTAAATAAGTGAATGCAGTGTGATCTGAATGGAGGGACAAACATGCAAGTGAATCGCTGTCATTTAGAAATGAGATCACATTTATGTATGAATCGAGATCGTGATTTTTTATTTATTTATTTATTTATTTTTTGATTAATCGTGCAGCCCTGATTGCTAATAGGTGTATCTTGACAAAGGCGTGTCTTCTAGAAGATCATCCTGCAGAAAAGCACATCAGGTTTTTATTTTTGAGGTCAGCACTTGAATTGTCAAATTTGATCGTTATCAGTGTTGCCACCACATTTGCAAAAAACATCACAATTAGCATTATCATGTAAATTAGAAGTCGACTGATAGTGGATTTTACCAATAACGATAACTGGCTGGACCACACTGGCCGATAACGATCGTTTTTTAAAATGGATAATGAATGAGAACAAACATAATATTCCAAGTAAAATAGCACTGAACCTTAAACAAAAATATTTATTAGTAAATGAAATTAACAATCTAACAATGAACAATACTTCTACACCATTTATTATCCTTAGTTAATGTTACAAATGTACTGGTAAAGTGTTACCTTTTCAAATAAAAATAAATATCTACAAATATCTAATAAGTCCATAGCATTGAGATTAGATACATATGCATATTGTATGTATACTCTCCCACTTTATTTGTTTCTCTGCTTGACTTTTATCTAATAAAAATAACAAAATATGTATTACAGTGACGATAATTTTTTTTTGATTAGTCAGACGTCACTAGCTTTAAATATGCAACTTTGCTGGATATTAGATGCATAACAAACAAACTCAACGAGGCGTCATTGATTCTGCCTCTGGAGGCGGCTCTCGTTCTGTATAATGACAGTGGACCTTCTCAGTTGTTCCAGCAATGGATGCAACCTGAAAAAACTATCGCTATTGTTCCAGCAGTCAGTTATCGGTGCCAATTAATCGGCAAAACGGATCAATCGTTCGACCTCTAATGGAAATCTATAAACCTTTCAAAGGTCTCAATTTTAAGTATCACAACTTGCTGCCCAAATGCAAGACTCACCATAGGAAGGTCTTGAAGCCGGTGGAATTCTGGATGCTCACTCCGCTGACGGAACCTGAGGAAGAGGACGGCTGAGACCATGGCAGTGCAAATAATGAAAACGGTGACCAGAGCAGCGAGCAGGGGGTCCAGGGGCGATGTAGGGTGGTGGGGAACCTTCCCTGACTCTAGAAGATTGATGAATTGAGCGGAATCTGATTATCACTATCACAGGAACCAATAAAAGTGAAGGAACATCATGTACAGAGCACAGAAGTAAATGCAGATGGAAAAATAATGAAATTATCATGTCATGGTGCTTACTAGACCTCGACAGCAAGACCAAAGACACAACTCAAACAAATGTACTCCCTCTCATACTTAAAGGTTCACTCAAAAATAAAAAGTGCTTGTTGTCAGGCATGTACGGTTGAGCTTCCGTTTACCATATTTGATGTCATTTATGTGCGTTGATCAACATTTATATAAAAGTCTAAATTAAATCTTTTCTAGAGATGTCCAGAGCTGATCTCAAGGATCAGGATCGGGGCCGATGAAGCATTTTTTTTAACTGATCGGTATCGGCTCTCCTAAGCCCGATCCTTATTTTACATCAGCTGTCATGTCTGTGTCGTGCTGAAGGTGGTGCTATGCACCTTCCAGTAGGTTTGCCAGCTGTCATTAAAAGGAAAATAAGATACTCAAATGTGCGTGCATGACGAGCAAAAACCAATGAAGTCACTCAAAATTAATTAATTTACCGCTTACTTTTATCTGCCGTCAGACTATCTGAGACGTCATAACGCGTTGCTATGGGTTGCATCTTGATTCAGACTTGACTGACAGACTGGCATTCGGACACCACAAGCATCATGCTTCCTAACCTTATCTCCACTTTTTTCCCTTTATGTTGCAATTATTCTGCTTATTGTTCATATTAAATACAAGAGGTTTATATCAGTAGTCCTATATTCATAAATGTTACCACACAGTCTGTTTACAACGTCTACTAATGTAACATGTTTACATCTACAGTGTGTGTATACAAGTATCGGATTGAGACTTGGCAGATACTCAATATTCAATGACTTGGATTTGATCGGTGGCACAGAAAAACTGATCAAGACATCCCTAAGCTCACATCACATAAATCGATTGCCTTTTCAGAAGACTTGGATTAAACCACTTGATTCATATGGATTACTTCTAAAATGAACCTTTGAAGCTTTACATTTTCGGTTGCATGGACTTTAAATGGAGGGACACAAAAATGATGAAAAATATAAAAAATATCTTATTTTGTGTACTGTAGCTGAACGAGAAAGTCTTTTGGATGATGAGCAAATAATGAAAGAATGTTCATTTTTGGGTGAATTATCCCTTTAACGTAAATGGCAGGAAAACATTTGCTATCCACACACCTTGATCCCCCACATCCAGTTCAGAAGATTCATCCTGGTCTTCCAAAGGAGCAGGTCCAGTGACCTTTGAACTGCTGGTCAGGGCGATCTGAGATGTCTGAGGGCAAGTGGTGGTGAATGGTGGAGCTGTTTGTGTTGTCTGGATCACACTGCTGGCTGAAGAAGAGACAGTCTGAGGTCCTTCACTTGGACTGATGGATGTTGCAAGAGCTGTGGTGGCTACTGAATCTGAAACGGTGCTCTTCAAAAAAGAAATTGACGGGCTGCTAGCAGAAGAACCTGCAGGAGAAAAACAGGCATAGAAAGACAAGCTTTGAACAACAAACGAAGAAAGGAAAGTAAGATTTAAGAAGCATATTAGAACAAGAGTGTGAGTGTGCTTGTCTGTGCAAAACTCTCTGCCACAATGCCAGGGTGCAAACAAGAGCGTGTGCAGTGCTGACTTCATGAAAAGTTCACGATATTAACACTGACAACAAAGTTGAATCTAATTAGCACTTTATAGGAGGACAGATAGATAGATAGATAGAGAAGGATGGATGCATATACGATTGGATTTTGTCCCATAATTTGTTCCATTTGTTGTGTGTTCTGGGTGGTCTCGGGTCTCTGCTTCAGTGTAAGTCTATGGTATTTTTTTACCCATTTTACTGTCTGCCAGGCAAAAACTTTTTTGAAGTTGTTTTGTAACAGTCATACTTAAGGTCTGGCATACGTGCAGTTAACCAATAAGTAGATATTCAACTGCCCTAAATATAGCTGTGTTTCCAGTGAAATGACAGTATGCAAGAGGGATTATTTACAAACACAGTTGTGTTCCAAAATGTTACACCCACGACCAGCCATTATTTACGGACAGACATTTGATCAAGTGGGTGGAATGTGGCACTTTCCCAGAGAGTCTCACGAGTTCAGTCTGGATTCAGTCACATTAAGCCCAGTGTTTTATCTTTAAAGTGAAACAAAGTGATGCACACCCACATGAAAGCACTCACACTAGAAGACAAACGCAAATGCAAATGTCAGTGCATGATATCTGAAGCATCGTGTTCAACTTCTACAACAATATGAGAGCAATGCCACCATCTAGGCTAGGTGTATAAGGAATTAAAAGCTCAGCCGAGTACTGAGGAGTCAGACCATGCAGTGCCTTGTATGTTAACATTAGAACTTTAAAATCAATACGGAATCTAACTGGGAGCCAATGCAACAGTTCCAAAACAGGAGTTATATGATCAACAACCCAGGCCCCTGACAGAATTCTAGCTGCTGAATTTTGTAAATACTGTAGTTTGTTAATACAAGATTTAGAGACTCCAATAAGAAGGTTGTTACAATAATCTAGACGAGAAAAGACAAAATAATTAATTAACCTTTCAGCAACAGAGAAAGACAGCAAAGGTCGTAGCCGTGCAATATTTCTAAGATGAAAGAACGAGATCTTAACAGTGTTCAGCACGAAAGGCTCGAACAACAAGCTGGGATTGAAAATAACACCCAGATTTTTTTATTTACTTTGTAACTCCAGAGCAACACCGTCAACAGACAAAGCTAAAGATTCAGCATTACGCAATTTATGGGGAGAGCCAAGAAGCATAACTTCTGTTTTGGAACTATTCAAACACAAGAAATTGGTATGTGGGGGCGTGTTAGAACCAGCCGTTTTAGGTAGGTGTGGCTGACTCTGAACTTTTATAAAGAATATCTCTTTGGATTTGAGACTTTAGTCTTTGCAACTTTACAGATCTTCTTTATGCACCAAGAGCTTGTAACACTCCAAAGAGAAAGGATCAGATGGCATCATATGACCCCTTTATTAAGTATCTAATTAGCACTTAAGGGGGAAATGCGAATAAATACAAATTAGAGACCAAACATATTTCAGTTACAAAAATATTTCGCAGATGAACTGCTGTTTTTTTTTCCTATTCCCAAATATATTGTTACTATTTTAATCTTTCAATCTTTGCGGTATTGTAACATGTAAATTGTCAAAGATGACATACTTTTCAAAGGAAGAGTAGATAGATAGATAGATAGATAGATAGATATTGTATAGAGATAGACAGATGGCTAGAAGGATGGATGATTGGATTTTGTCCCATAATTTGTTCCATAGGCTAAACAATGTCATTTCAAACAGATAAGACGTATATAAATCACTAGTGATTAATCAGAAAGAAGAAGAAGAAAAAAAAACATGCGAGTAAGACAAAGCCTGCAGATAGGCTACTGTAACATTATAGAATCACGTTGCTGTATTCATGCTAAAATCAAGCAAATCATAAGCCATGCGCTTACCTTTGATGACAGACGAATGCAGAACCATCGCAGTCCATATAATAAAAGCGCTTTGAGCCCTCATGTTAGATAAAGCGACTCGAGCGAGCGCGCGCAGACACCGTGCAGATTCGCTCTGTGATTCCCGGGATGATCTTTCCGTTAGATGACAGCGGACATCATCGGAGCTAAAAATATCCCGAGGGCTCTGGGCTTCGACAGCGGGGTGTGGTTAAGCGCAGCCTACAGTCTAAACGACAGCTAAAGAGAGCAAAAGGCTTCGGGCTATTAGACCGTCTGAATCGAATGTGAAGGAGCCGAATGATTTGAGAGTGAAGTGAATGAAGTGTGGCGTCAGTCCCGTCCGCTCTTATTTAGTGCTGCTACCCACGTGTGCGCCGGTGGACCATCCCGTTAGATCTGCCCCCCGCACACATGACCTGACAGGACTCCAAAAACACCCCCTCACACATTACCACTGAGTACTGACTGTCACACAAGAATAGGACATAAGGAACTTCATGAGGATTGAGAATGGAGGCAGTGAATGCGGACGACTTCACAGTGGAGGCAGTGGAGAGGGTGAGTAGAATGTGATATGCTGGATGGCCAAACTGACTCACAGCAACACAATAACACGTCACTCGACCATTTGTATTTGAGAGTAGGCCTGCTTGACAAACGGTGACTAATAACAAAACCTTAGCATTTCACCTAAATGTTAAAATATAAAGTTAAAGGGAACTTGTAGCCTATATTTTAGGTGCTGCTACTGGTCATCATTTAGTTTTTCACTATTGCAGTTCCTGGTATTTGGGGTCTGAGTGACCATAATAGTAGCTCATTGAAAATACTTAAAGGGGTCATATGATGCGATTTCAATTTTTCCTTTCCGATTAGTTTTGTAAAAATCGACGCGTTTCAAAAAGGCGGGGCATAGAGGAGAAACAATAATCTACAGTATGTGGAAAATAATGTGTTTTTTTAACTTTAAACCGCATAAACACATTTCATCACACCAAATACACAAAATAATGTTCTTTTTAGCAGCATCATATGACCCCTTTAACACCAAAGCATCAGGTTAAAAATGTGATGTTTTTTTTTTTCTCTAATTTTATGAGAACTTGCTAAAAAAATAACATACATCGTAATAACACACAAAGACCCCAGATATAAAACATGAAAAAAAGCAATGCTAATATTGTTTTACTGCAGATACACTCCTATCAGTTTATATAGATTTTTTTATTGTATTGTTCTATAATGTGCTTTTGCCCAAACAAAAACAACACTACTTGGATGGATACCTGGTAAATTACTTAAATAAATAAATAAATAAATAAAAATAATATATATTTTTTAGCTTACTAGGTTTTGATTGGGCCAGATAAACTTATTAAAATTATTTAAAGAATAAAAACAAATCTAATTGCTATTATTATTTTCACACATATATCAGTAAGGTGTGAGTAAAATTTGAAAATAAAAAAGCAGATGAAATTGTATTATCTGAGTCGTGTTGAAATAGCAGTAAATTAATTTTCAGAAGTTTTTTTTTTTGCCCATTTAAGGGTTAAGTGGCATAAGGATTGCCTTAGAAGGCTACTACTAACTACTAGAAGCCTACTAGATAATTTAGTAACTGACATACCAGAATACAACGAAAATCCAATAGATTTTAAATAGATTTAAAATGTCTCATTTTAGAGTTAAATGCCATGACCAAACCACTCAAATACGAGGTGAAAATCACAACATTACAAAATTTGAAGCAATTTATTATCTGAAAATCTGAAAAAAAAAGTAATAAAAAAAAAGTAAGAAAGAAAAAAAAAATCTAAATTATCCCTACATAGAAGTACAATCTCACAAATCATTGTGAACAACATAATTGAAATAAAAATGATGGATAAATATAAAACTGTTGATTTAAAGTGATAGTTCACCCAAAAATAAAAATTACACCATGGTTTACTCACCCTCAAGCCATCCTAGGTGTATATGACTTTCTTCTTTCAGAGCAATATAATTGGAATTATAGTAAAAATGTCCTGGCTCTTCCAAGCTTTATAATGGCAGTAAATTGGTGTTGAGATTTTGAAGTCCATTAAAGTACATCCATCCATCATAAAAAGTGCTCCACACGGCTCCGGGAGGTTAATAAAGGCCTTCTGAAGTGAATCGATGCATTTGTGTAAGAAAAATATCCATATTTAAAACTTTATAAACTGTAATCTCTAGCTTCCATTAACTGTCGTACGGGCATTCATCATGAGAGAGTGGCGTTTCAGCGGAATTGTGTTCTGTGACAGCGGAATTGATTTATGGAGTAAATCATGGGGTAATTTTCATTTTTGGGTGAACTATCCCTTTAAAGAAAGAGAGAGAGAGAAACAATATATCTGACATTTATTGAGAAATATGCATATATAGCAGAGGGAAAGAGCTCTTTTAATTATTTTTATTCTCTGATTGGTGGCATTCTTTGATCGGTGCATTATGGGTAATGTAGTTTTTCATCAAGAATTCCGCTGTTGAATATGATAATTTAAAGAAAAGTTGAAATAATATGTGCTGATGGCTTTAACAGAAGTATACCATTGATCAACAACCGAGCTCATGATACCTCTATCTTTAAAAGTCAATAAAGTATCATTAAAAATCAGCTCCCCTATGGAGAAAATGAACTGGATTTTTACTTCTGAAACCCAACTTTTCCACTCTATTACTATAAAAGGACAATAAGATGACTGGAAAACTGCATTGACCAATCAGAAGCCAGGACTAAACTATCCATTTTATACTATTATTGAAAATTGTATTTAAGGGTTTTGGTGGAATATCATATATCACGCATAACACGCCTGTCACTGCTTGATGTTTCATGAAGTGTGTGAATAACAGTTACTTTGTGCCTACTCTCTGCTTTTCTAAAGAGACACTTAAGGGTGAGATTTATTGCTAACACTTGAGTTGAAAGAAATGTGTGATAGCCATGCATTTTAACAAGCCATTTATTTTTTCTTTAAGAGCAGTTAAATCAAACTACCATTGTTTGGAGATGTAAAACCGAGAGCTAATTCAATAGAAGTAAAATTCATCAGCTCCACTAAGGGCTGATGGCAAGTGGTAGCCTTTCGTTTGGAGAATGCTGTCCCTGAGGCCTCTATTCCTTCATATTCCCATAATTCCACTAACAGCTGAGTAAAGCCACACAAGTCTGAAGGTGTTTGGTCTTGTACAGTTCAGAACAAAATAGAAGCCTCTGTAAGTGGAAAGTAACTTGATATCCTCAGTAAGCTGTGCTAGTCTAATAATAGCTGTCAGCATGTGGGGGATTTGGTGGCTGGTTTATGTTCTGCTTCCCCATTGTGTCCTGTGATTTCAGTTTCATCTTATCTGTGCATTATTAATACTCAATCAATATGTACATATACAATCAAAATTTCAATCATTCCTTATTATTAACATTTTTTATGTTTTTGAAATAAGTCTCTTGTGTTCACCAGGACAGCATTTATTTGATAACAAAATGCAGTAAAAACTGTAATATATTATTGCAGTTTAAAGGTGGCATATCATGAAAATCGGACTTTTCCAGGTTTTAAGTGCTATAATCAGGTCCCCCGTACATCTACAAACAAAGGAAACGTGAAAAAGATTAACCCAGTCACTTTGCTCTGGTAAGCCTTTTTCTGCAAGCGTCTGAAAAAACGAGCACGTCTGAACAGCCAGCGAAGGATCTAACGCAACTGTTTTGAATGAGCGCACATTTTTTTAACAACCAAAAAGTGGCTGTTTCGTTGTCTGTTGAGGAAGTACAGACGTTCCTCTCATTGATAGCAGAGGATCGGATTCAGCAAGAGCTTGATGGGGCGACGCGGAATGGAAAAGTTTTTCAGGAGTCACGGCAGTATAGGCGGCGCAACTAACGACATGTGAATAATCCCGCCCACTCAAAAGCGATACTAAACTGCAGTGGAAGCGCAAACCGAGGCGAGCCGAGCCGTGCCGTGCCATACTGAGCCGTGCCGC